TATTCTAAGTTATACTGGAACTCTTTTTAGCTAATTTTCACTCAGTAATTTAAAGGAATTTCTCTTATTTCACCTTTTTTAATGACTAGTTTAAAAGGTAAAGAGTTATTTTGCTCTTAATGAGCTAAAATATTCTTAACGAGACAAAGTACTTTATAATTTATTTTATATTATAAACTAAACAAACTACTAAAGTCATACTCTAGTCAAAATTACACTGACAGATTCTAAGAAGATGTCTCAAATCATCACATTACAAAACCGAAATCAAACCAAAAATCCCCAAAGAAACCAGCTTACTTTTTAAACTTTGGGAAAGTATTTACTATGCTATGGGGATGCATGCAGGTACAGGCCACAATCTTTGCTGTGAAATACTGGAGGATTAATATTTCAGATAATTTGCAGTGAAGTTATCCTGTTCACCTCCATTAGCAGCAATATCCAAAGCTATTATTTTTTCGTTGCTGTCTGAAGCGCTAAAGGCCCTTCAGTTTTCACCCTAAGTTAGCTCATTTGATGGGAGGATGCTCAAACCAGTACCTGCGGCAACAGCCCCTGAGCCATTGCCCTCATAACCACAGCCAAAATCACACGGGCTGGGAGACAAAACTGCAAGTTTTTTTCCCCCTTATTTTACAGATAGGGAAAAGCGAGGGCAATGACTTGCCCGGGGCCACAAAGTGCATCAGTGACAGAGCCCAGACCAGAAGATAGCTCTCCCAACACCGCGTGTTTTAGCCATCTAAATTGCTTATTTTAGCCGCTTCTGCTGAGCTCCGCTGGGGCTGAAGGGCAGCGACAGCCACCTCGCAGGCTGATTGCAAGTTTACAAGTGGAATTGCCATTTCTCAGACAATGATTAATTGCTTCCCTTCCAGGCATGACTACTATTAGTACTATTAATTATTTGTAGGCAACGTATCGGTGATAAAATGGGCTAGCTCGCCATGCTCCTACTTGAAGTACATTAGGACTTTCAACAGACAGCAAATCACACAGGCACACTGGGACTTCCCCGCTTCCAACCACTGCTCGTAAGTGCTGAGATTTGTACTTCTAAGTCTCATTTTACGCAGTGAATAAACCCAAGGTCCTTTTTTAAAGTCAGAGTTTTATTTATACATAGAGTTGGGAGTTGTAAAACACATACAATGTCAATGTCTGCTTTGAGTCTTTACTGTTTATAAGCTCCAAAGCAGGAGAAGGTGGAGATGGCACAAAATGTAAGTTGGGTGATCTGGGCAAGACAGTCCGTTGGCTCCATTTTTAATTGTTTCTCTTAGTTTCATCTCTAATCTCAGAATTAACATATGAAGAGGGGGGAAGTGGAAAGCAGGAGAGGACATCTGACCGTAAACCCAATCAACTATGGTACATACATGGGTGAACTTCTTCCAAGTCAGTAGTGACAAACTACCCACATGATTTTTACAGTCATTTGAATTTTTGAGGTCTTGCATTATTTTATTTACATCTGATGATTTTTCTTCTCCTGCTCCACCAATCAAGCAAATGAGCATTTTTTTCAGGTCTTCTCAGTGATGATAGTTGTTCATTATATTTTCCTCACCTGTATTCCAGCTGTTTTGCCCTGGGCTGAGAGCAGGACCTGAGCCGCACCGTGATATTTGCAAGGGTTTTTTTTAGCATACATACTGAGTAGATTCATCAGATCCTCCAAAACTGCTAAGTGACATCTACTACAACAAAGCTGGGATGGAGAGGTGAAATTTAAGACAGTAGCATCCAATGAGAAAGAAAAATACATATAGTGATTTTGAAGGGAAAAAGAGAAAGAGGTAGAGGCAGGCAGGGAAAGAATCAATATTTTTCTTCCAAGATAAAATAAAGCTGCCCACTAACCTGGGATGGTCGTTATCCCCAAGTTCTGGCAAGACAACTTTTGTGGATGAAATAGTGAAAACACATTATTGCCCCTGCTGTCCTACATTTATATACTACATTTATACTCACTGCGTATACATTACAGAGGGTAACGTAATGAGAGCTGAATTGCGCTCTGTTTGCAGTTCTTCCCAATGGGTAAATAAACTGTTTGCAATCAAGGTAAGTATCATGTTGGTCCTTAGGTGCTGTATTTAATTTTACTTGATGCTTTTACTCTCTAGTCAGGCAATAACTCCCTCTGAAGGTGCACAAGGGACACGAACGCTTCTAGCGCATCTCTGTAAGTTAGCAGCCCTTCAGGAGGCTTTAAAAAACTGCCACCTTGGTCAAATACTGAGCTTCTGGATTATGGGAATGCCTGGGGGGAGGAAGAGGGAGAAGGGACTTCTGAGGCTGCATGGAAACCCCAGAAAGAAAATAGATTATTTTGTTCTTTTGAGGGATGTGACTGTGAGACAGAGCTTATCAACAGAATTCCTAGTTCTCATGTGAAATATCTTGATAAGTCTTGAAGTACAATCTTGCCATAAGTAGCTTTTCCTCTGGCAGCGAAAGTGAGAAGAAATGATTGAGCAGTTAGCTAATCCCTTCCTTCTCCCAAGCTCCACCTATTTACCACGCCAGGGCCAGCTGAACACACGTCTCATCACCGACTGCGCAAAAGATCACTTCTGGACTATTATACTTGCAATACTTTAAAAGGGGATAATTTATCTCCCGTTTGTTTGGGGGGGTTTGTTTGAATGCTTAGGTGGTTTTGTTTAACTTTGTTTTAAAGAGAACCAAGAAGAGCATTATATTTATCTTGGTGAAAAAAAAAAGGACAAGGATAAATGTCTATACAGGTTGGGTTTTTTAGCCAATATTATGCTGTGATTTAGAAGTGCCATCCCTACCCCACACTAGTTACTCACACTGTTGTGAAACATTAATGTTTGTGAGGTATTATGATGAACCAAATCTGGAAAAAAAATATGCTGGGAAAAAACTCAACCAAAAAACCCCACAGTTCCTTACGAGATCAAACAAACGTCATGCTGCCACACCGGAGGAGTCAGTAGGATCAGAAGGAATAACACCGTGTTAGCACTGAGATTGGGAGCGGGGTGGTGACAATCCTCAAAACCTACAGATGTGTACACCAAATCATGCTTTACAGAGAGAAGCCCTGAATGACTATTTCTTACGCACCCATCTGAGCCAGGTCGAGAAGGTGTGCTGTCGGAGGAGATGGAAGACACCGATGCAACGGAGAGGGGTCTTGAAGATGACGGCATCGTGAAGGATCTCACCATAGACCGTGGCCGACTGCCTCGTCTATCATCCAGACTTGAAAGCTGTGATAAAGAAATACCAGATGTTACTTCTTAAATCACAATATAGCTGACACCTGGTTACCAAAAGTAATGTGGAATGGTTTGATGTTTTTTCTTCCATGTAGAGTTTTACATTATTTAATTATACATTGTGTTTAACAACAAAGAAACAAATTCTAAGGAAAATCCATTTAAAGGACTAGGAAGAAATATTTAGGTCCTCATAGGCATATGTATAATTTCAAACATATTCCAATAATTCATTTGTTTCAAAGGTATTTACATGCTTTTTTACATCTGGGCTTTAAAAAAGGAGCTTTCTACAAATAACTTTTTCTTTTTTTTAATCCATCTCTGCAACTGAAGTGACTGCCCTGTCAGTATATTTAAATGAAACAGAGTTTTTTTAAAAAAAAAAAAAAAAATCCCACTAAGAAGAACTTTATGTCAAGAGAGTCAATTTAGAGAGTGACATCTAGGTTAAGAAGGAAATATATGAAAGGGTTTTTTTTGTTTCAGACAATTTCAGAGTTCTGAATATTTATACAAGCTTTGTTAGTCATTAATAACTGATATATGCATAAAATAATTGAACTCTTTCAGTCAACAAATAAGAATCTCATGCTGTTTAATTACAGGTATATTTTCCACCCTGTCAACTACTGGTAAATTGGCCTTGTACAAGAAAGACAGAAGCTATAAAACTCCATCAATCCTGACAATTCTTACTGGTGGGTAGAGTGAAATTAGAAAGATAACACCACCTGCGTATGACTTTCCAGTCATCTCCCTGATGATGTAAATGTATATTATTGAAGTGACTGACATGCAAGTATCATTAATGTCAATTATTCCTGTTCTTCTTGGGAATAAATTACTATTTGAACTTTTCTCTTCCTAAATATATTAGCAAGATGGGATTTGAAGGACTACAAATGGAACACCCCTTAAAAGGATACCATAAATGCTGGCACGTTCCCCATAAGATCTCAGTGCTCCCTTTAAAAAAAAAAAAAAAGTCAGCTCTATAGACAAAAGTGAAAACTAACCTCTGAAGGAAGGCCCGAGGAAGTTTTCAGGTACCCCGATGGAGTTTTCAGGCACAAGGCCAAAAACACAACTGCAGACCTTTTTAGCCTCATGGCTGCAGAGAGAACCTTCAAAATTTGAGCCCATGAACATATCTGAATTGATGCAGCACCTCCAAAAATGATGACCCAACCCCAACTGGGGCAACCATGCAATTCAGTGTTTTCCTAAGGATGCCAGCACTCCCTTGCAGGGAAGCACCTGCCATTTGATACCATGTCTTTCGCCTGCTGGGACCTGCTCACTGGCTTTCTTATTACTGGGCACTTAACGGGATTACAGAGGAAGCTCCTTATCTGCTTCCAGGGTGCCAGGGAATCACAGAATCATAGAATAGAATCATAGAATCATTATGGCTGGGAGATCATCAAGTCCAATCATACACCCGATGCCACCATGCCCACTAAACCATGTCTTGAAGCGCCACATCTAAATGTTTTTTGAACACCTCCAGGGATGGTGACTCCACCACCTCCCTGGGGAGCCCGTTCCAATGCCTAACGACTCTGACAGTGAAGAAGTTCTTCCTAATGTCCAGCCTGAACCTCTCTTGGCGCAACTTGAGACCGTTTCCTCTTGTCTTGTAAAAGCCAGGGAAGGAGATGAGACAGCAGCCCAAAGGACAGGCTGGCTTTCCTGTGCCATGGCCCAGTAATTAATGGTCTGCTGGTGACTTCCTTTGTTTTTAGACAGCTTTTGCCAACAGAAGGTGGATCTGTGCAATCTTAAAGATCTGTGCAATCTTAAAAATAAATCACTGCTTTTCGAGATCATTTGGTTTTAATACCAGTCCTTTTTGTGGGAAATGGTTTCTGGTATAGGATATTCTTGAGTCAAATTTGGGGAAAATGCACATTGTCTTAAATGATACCACACTGTTTGCTCCTTTGGAGGTCACATTTTCTCTAAAAATTGGGTAAGCGCTATAGCTTGAAGCTCACTTACATATCCTGAACTAAAGTGAACAAGGCAACTCAGTAGTGAGTACCTCTGATGATTCCAACCAAATTCAGCTAAAAACCTTTGCAGCAAAGCGGGGTGGACCCCAAAATTTCCAGGCATTTCCAACATTTAGAGCCACCAGGCAGGAGAGGAGCCACAATTTGGCATCACAGGGCCGGTGGGAGGGAGCCGACTGCATGCCAGGTCAGCTTGGAAACGTATGGATGATACACTGGCTACACCTGTGTTAAGAGGACACGGGGGTCTCTTCTGGTAAATATATGTGCTTTATTTTCTGTACGGCACATGCAAGTTTTACGTACTGCTGTTGTTTCACAAATAAACCTAAAAATTATATCACGTTTACAACAATGCTGTCAGGACTACCAGTAGGCAGAGATAAACCTCACCCCAGAAGCCTTCAATGTATTATTAGGACATCAGCTCCACATAGTCTGTCCCAGAGCAACTCCAACCACTTGCATCTCAGGTGTTTAAATCATTTGAAGAACTGATCATATAACAGCACCCAATCCACGTGGCTTTTGACTGAGCTATCAGTTATATTTTGAATTGCGAAGCTGTATGCTGGCTTTTGGCTTTTCTCCCCGATAGGTAACGCTCCAATTAAAAGCAGAACAAAACTCCACTGGAAACGCCACCAAATTCTTGGCTGTGCCTTAAAGATGAAGCAGTAACTGAAAATAGCGTGCTGGAATGAGAAAAGCATGAACTCCAGCACTACTAAATCTCATTAAGTAGCAGTTATCTTTTGATTGCCTGTCTACATTTAGGGTGGTGCCTGCACACTACTGTAGAGCTGCACAGCCCTCACATCTCAACAGGAATTACCTCTACGGAATGATGACATTCAGCTCTAGAAGAATCATGCTATAGTGGCAATTGTTTAATTTTTTTTATTTTTTGGAACCCAATTCCTTAAAAACGGGGTATTGAAGGATTATCTTGACTTTCAAGGAACAGATTCAAGCAATTTTAGAAATTGTTCCCATGCTAGAAAATGAAAGTACTAGGGCTTTCTGAAAATCTTTTATAACATCTGCTCAGTATTTAATAATTTGATGATCACTGAGAACAACCAGGCAATGCTGCATCAATATTGTTTTTTTAATCAGTGAGACTTACAATGCAGATATACACCGTTGCCCATAGTTTAAAGAAATTCCACATTATTTAGGAAACATAAAGTTAGCAGTTAACTTACGACAGCGCGGACCCCGTACTGTTTTTCCACTTTGTCTTTCAGCTGCCTGAAGCAAGCCTCCATCCTCTCGTGGAATGGCCGCAGAGCTTCCGTCACCTTCTCCCCGTGAATCCGGATGCCTTCTGCTAGGAAGGGGATCTGGAAAGCAGAGTTATGCTGCTTCAGTCTGCCCAGGCCTTCCTAAGCAAAGGATCAGGGCAAGACTCCCACATATGTTGCAAGAGGAGTGAAAGATCTCACGGAACAATAAGGAGAATAATAAGAATGAGAGTAACAATAATAGTAACAACAACAACAATAACAATTGTCATCATCATCACCATCATCATCATTCATTGTGTATGATGCACAACATAGTAAAAAATGGATCTAAAAATCTGTTATACATTACTTCCTTTTCTCTCTGTTAACCAAAATAAATCCTTTAAAATTAATAGTTCTGCCCAGTAATCACACACTGGAGGCACAGCCGAATTTATCAGATAGCACAACTATTCCTGTGATGTTATATTCACAGGCCCCCATACACGCTGTACTTTAAAATGGCAAACTGGTGAATGACAGCTCTCACAGCGGGTTATTAATATCAGTCTTTTCCCAGTTTCATGAGAATAAAAACTTGAAGGAGAAAACACTTGTATGTTTTCTTTAATCAGCGCTATTTCTAAAACAGCAAATGAGCTACATCCTCGGACACGTACATATTGCAGAGCAATATTTATAAATAAAACATACGGTTTTATATACTATACATTTCTTCTTAGAAAAAAATTATTTTATTTTCTTTGGGAACAAAACAGAAAAGAAAAAAATTAAATCAATTCTCTTTTGTAACTGAAAATAATCATTTATCTTCAAGGCTTCTGTCACAAAATATCCATGCCAACACAGGATTATATAATTAGTTCATAGTGTGGAGGTGTAGCTGACCTTTTAAAATGTTTTAAGAGAGACATTTTCATTCCCACAGCTATCCAGACATACCGTTAAGAGTTTTCTACCTCCAGCTTAGGAAAATTATTTCCTCTTCCAGGTCCGTTTCAGCCCACACAGTGCTCCGATTCTAACTTAGATATTCTCTGCAGCAATCAAGCTAAGAGGCTTCTTCTTAATAATTCATAATTAAATCATAATACTGATTAAACCCAGATTTTTCTAATAAGACTGAGCAGCAATCAGAAGGAGTAGCTTTATTAGTAAGGAGAGTAATAAATACACAGATGAATTACAGATGAACAAACTCAAGAAATCTTATCAAGCTGATTCTCTGTGATTTGGCACTATTTAAATGGACGCAGTTTCTTCTAAAAGAGTACAAAGAGAAGTAAGAATAATGACAATTTTTTTTACTGTAGCCACTTCTGTTTATAGCCATATGACTTTGCACTCTACAAAAATTAAACATTAAAATCAGAAAATTTCCCTGCTCTGAATAAGTAAATGAATTTCCAAATTTTTGTAATTATCACGGCACACCATGACCCTCCTATTTTGCAGTGGTAACTGGTCACTTGGCTCATTTATTTAAAAGAACCTGCTGACTTTTTAAATGGACTCTTAAAAAAATTAAATTACCAAGATGAAGTACACGTGTGGTCTGAAGCTTCAGCTCTGAGGTATTTTTAGAAACAGAAAATGCACTAATGAGCCTGTCCTAGGGATCAGCCATCTCCAATTTAGAAAATCAAGCAATATGAAGTAAAAGATATTTTC